CTCCCACCATGCTCCAAGGAGCCCCCAGCCCTGGACCACCAGGTCCCCCCTTGCCCCTCAGGCTCCTGTGCGAGGGAGGATGTCCACAAAGGGCTGAGCACAACTTCTCAGATGCTTCTCTTGTCTGGACACAAACTTCAACCCTGGGTTCACACAACCCCTCCAAAAAATCACATCCAAAGCCACAAAGCAGCATTCCAACGCTCAGAGAGGAAATCTCAAATTCACAGCTGGGAATAACGAATTAACATCTCAAAACAACAATGTTTTCCACCAAGACTTTCAGTTCTACATAATTTTACACTTGCTCCATTTTCCTAGATGATCTTTGCAACGAGGGCAATACAAATTTTTTATTTCTAATAAGAGGAGAGTGGAGTGGAGAGTGTCCACCACATAATAAGTGGGGTTTGTGATACTCATAGCAACTTGGGTGGGAAGATTTACATCCACTGCCCACAGAGCAAGAATCACCACAATAGCTTCACATAGATGTATCAGATGTATGTATGGATCATTATGTGTCTTATTTTGCTACAGACATGAAGAAATTCCCTTCTTTAACTCCTCAGACCATCCCAGCTCACCAAGCCACTGGTTCTAAATGCCCCACAGTGAGTATTCACAACTTGTAACTCCAAGCAGCAGCTCCTATGGCTGCATGTTCCTGCCCATGAAGGAGCAGTCCAGGAGTTTCCTGCACACGTGCACACTCCAAATGCCAATCCAACAGCTGTCACAGTGGCACTGTGTTGTGCCTCTTGGTGTCTGTTTGCTGGATGCTGCCCCACACGTTTGGCACACCCATCCTTGCTGCCCTGACCCCAGAAAAAGGGCTGCACACTGAGCTCCCTGGGGCTGTCAGCACTGGTCCCCAGAGACGCCCGCCTGCTCCTGGTGTGCACCACAGCCTGAAACTCCTCCTGCCCCAACCAAGAAACGTGAGACAGAACTTCACCAAGCAGCTCATCCCCATGAAACCCCTGCCTCAGGCATCCCATGAAGAGCCCAAAGTACCACCACGACCACGGGGACCCAGATGATTGCACAAGCATGTGACACATGCAGCAGGGATCTTGCTCCCCTACCTGAATGGCTTCTGTGGTGATGCGTGGAGGCCAGCGTCAGTCGTCCCCACAGCGTGGTAAGGCAGAGACTGAGCACGAAAACCCATTTGCTCAGGCTCTGTAAATCCCTCTCGCTCATTCTACTGAAAACAAGAAGAGACATGTGGAGGAGGAGGGACTGAGGAGGGCTGGGAGCTGCAGATCCACTCACCAATGCTCCTGCACGCAGTGGCATGACTCCTGAACGTTGTGAGGACTGGGGTGTCTGGCTGTGGGGACATGGCCCTGGGAGATGAAGGGATTCACCCACCACCCTCAGATGACCTCAGACTTCAGCAGCAGCATAGGCCATCTCAGCAGGACAGAAAGAGATCCCACCAGCAGGAGTACAGGCGAGTGATGGTTACCTTTTACTGGTGATTCACGGTCACATCTGTGCATCTGCCAACCTCAGGTGGGTCAGGTCTTTGCAAGGAGCAGACATCAGCACATCTGAAAGGAGAAAGAACGACATGGGCAGTGATACCTGCCATCAGCATGAGCCACTGTGTCCCTGGGAGTGGCTGGGGACACCTGGGAATTTCACCAGCCCCACTTCAGGACAAACACTCTCAGGTGCATGTGTCCATTGCACCACTGAAACTTCTCCAGGAGCTCAGCCCATCACCCTGCTCACCCCTTTGAACAGCAGGACCTGCAGAGCTGCTCCTGATTTTTATGCTGAGAGCACAAAATCAGGTCCTTTAGAGTAGGTCATTAAAGCAGATGACAAACACTAAATGCACAGCCAGTGTGTGTGGGAAGAGCCAGAGCAGATCAGCAGCGAGTCATTTCAGGTTCTGCCTTTTCTGTGCGTGCTTACGTGCTGTTATTGTCCCTGTGTCACTGAGGTCCCTTGCAGTGATGCCCAAGGTCTGGCATTTGTAAACCACTTGCTGACAAGCAGGAGGATGGGCTGATGCTGCGGGGTGTCCTGGGGCCAGCACCCCACAGGAAGCAGAAGGGGGCTGCTGGCTGCCAGTCAGATACACAGAGCCCGTGGCAGTGCCAGGACCTGCACTCTGCTCTCCCAGCACATCACCTTCTTCTGGGGCTGCTCCTCCTTCCAGCACAGACACCAAATTCATGCAGCCACACACTCAAAACTGCATGGGCTACCCCTGGGCACACCGAGAATCTCTCCTGGCACCACACTGGCACCCTCCCACTCCATGCAGCACATGCTGGGAAGAAGCCAAGTTTTACATCATCTAAAGCCCCTAGGGAAAAATGTAAGTCCCAGAAGGTTTTGTGTTTTACTGCTGCACTCTTTAAATATATTCTTTTCGCTATTTACAGCCCTTCAGGTGGGAACAGCCCCGGCGCTCCGCAGGCGGCGGCAGCAGCAGCGACGTCACTGCTGGGCAGCTGCCAGGGGACATGGTGACCTCCCAGCCTCCATTATCACCTGCTGGGCTCTAACCAGCTCCACAAACAACCATGCCCCCCATAAAATTTTAGTGCTGCATCATATCTTACTACCAAGACACCACAAAGACAAGGGGTGATGGCAATGAGGTTAGGGAGTGCTGCCAGGACCAGCAGCAGGGGCCAGGGGTAGCCCTGCCCTGTGCCAACCTTGCACTCACAGTCCCCTCCACGGGCAGTGCAAAATTCCAGCAGTGCACTGGACAAACCCACACCTCTCAGAGAAGAAATCTTCAATGTTCAGCCACGTTTGAAATTTCTATCTGCTCTGGACCATGAGACAGTGAAACCACAGACTCCTCTAATGAAGAGCCAGGACAAAATATGCTGACATTTTTAATCAAAATGAAGTGATTTGAAGTGGTAAAAAGGGCATTTCTTGTTTGGAAGCATTTAAAAATGAATTTTCCCATTTTAAACTGGCATTTCAAAATGAAAAATGCTTCATTCCGAATTGGTGATTTAAAGTGATATTTTGCACTTTGATTCTCCCATCTGGAAAACAAAAATCAGAAAATGTCACCAAAAGTGTTGACATTTGCGCAGGAAGAAACCAAAGGTATATTGACAAAACCACATATTTCATGCTAAAAAAGAAGGTAGAGGTAAGGAAATAGTTCTACTGAATGCTGTGGGATGGTCAGCTTGGCCAGGAGCAGACTGAAGAGTGGCTGGCAGCATCCCACTTGGTGCCCTGACTCCATCCCTGCCCACTGGGTGATGAGGGGCTGCTCCTGCTCCAGAAAGAATCCAGTATGGCTCAACGTGCAAGAAAACCATTGCTCCTCGAGGTGATGTGGTGGGACTGCAAGACTCTCTCCTGTAAACCCATATTTAGGTGATCTCTGATGTTCTGGCACAATATGCTCTGCACGAGGCTTCTCAGGGCGGGATCATACAACAGCTGGTGCTGCTGGAGTCCCTTTGGAGACGTGACAGCCCACGGTGTAAATACTGATGTCAGCTTAAAGCATGCACTATTTGCTCAGTGACAAAGCAAACAGCTCTCTCAGAGCTGCTCAGTCCTTCACCTGACTCCAGAGGCAGTGTGTGCCACAGCCCTGCGTGCTGCAGGCGTGGGGCCACCCCTGCCCAGCCACGCTGCACACAGCAGCAGCTGTGTCCCACAGGCACACAGCCGTCCTGCCCCACGATGGGGCACATCCAGCAGCCCAGACGTGAGGACAGCAGACACAATGCCAGTGCAGTTTTTGCAACAGTGAGTCCCCAGTGCCAACAAACCTCCCATGTGCCTTCCACCAGAGCAGCCAGGTCTCCATCAGGAGACCCTGCTTTCCTGGCTGCTGCTGCAGCTCCTGCTGCATGCAGGGGGCACAGCCCAGCTCCCAGGCACCAGGCCTGAGCCCACAGCACACACCTGAGTCCTTCTGGGGGAGCCTATCCCCAGCTCATGCCCATGGGACCCTCTAGGACATGTGAGTTTCCAGGAGACATTCCTAAACCTCGCAGCTGGACCAAAAACCAAGCACTCCACTGGCCACTCCATCCCACAGAGGACAGCAACACGCTCCCAGTGCAAAGTATATTTAGCTCAGAAAGGCTGAGCTGTTTGCTATAGCCAAGGAAGCATAAATAAATTACAGAGTTATCAATAATGCAATCCACACTGTCCATGCCACACTCCAAAGGGAATCCACTGAGCTGAGCAGGAGCCACGCTGGTGGCCAGGAGAGCACATGTGGCTCAGGGGAGCAGGAGGACAAGGGGCACCCCAGTGCTCCATGCTGCCAGAGGCACTCAGAGCTCCCACCCATGCCCAAACTCCCATTAGAAAACACAGCTCCACAGAAACTGCTGTTTTGACAGTTATCAACTTCCAGTGTCGTGAGATTACAACTACAAATGTTTGGTCTAACTTGAGATTTTTCAGCCTGGAATGTCAGTGAAATGAAGAGTGGTGTTCTGGCATGTCAAAACACTTAATTTTGATTGAAAATCTTGGTATTCTCCATTCTCTTATGCGCTGTTTGGAATTTTGTGGATTTTTTCACTAACATTTTTTATCTGCTTTTGCCTTTTGGGTCTGAGCTGGGACCTGAAAGAACTGTCAAATTCCCCAGTCTCTCAGACTATCAATCTCAGTTGCAGAGTGTCAGGAGATGATGGCTCCACGTCCCTCCCTGTAGGCCCATGTGGGCATGGGCCACCATCCACATGGGAGCTTCATCGAGGTTCTCAGCACAGACACACTACAGGAACAGCTCCCTGCTGCCCTCCCAGACAACGACCCTCACAGGAGCTATGGACCTTTTCCTCCTCCTGCACTAAAGCCACATGTGGAACTGTGCCCCTCCAGCCAGGGCCCGCAGCTTGCTGGAGCACAGCCCAGTGCCCCACAGTGCTAACGAGGCTAACGAACAGCCCCCCACGCCTCTCCTGCAGCAAAAGGGATGGCTGATGAGCAGGAGGAGGAGACTGCTGCTTCCCTGCCCTGGCACCCACAGCATGGACAAACTCATGACTCCAGAATGGGACTGGTACAGCTCACGCTCTCCTCTGAGCCACCGAGCCCCTGCTCGTGGCAATGGGGCATCTGACCCGTGCCCATCCCGTGCCCCTCCAGCCACCCCATGCGGCAGCTGGCTCTCGGTGACGCTGCCCTACTCCAGCCTGGTGCTCGCCAGAGGCAAACCCATCCTGGCTGGAAGAGCTACAGCAGAGAGGGAGGCAGCAGAGGAAGATTAAAGCCCCCCATCGCATCCTGTCCTGCTCACGGCTTTGGCCGCAGGGACAGCTTGTGCTGAAGGCAGCGGCAGTTGGGATCTGCGGCCCCTTCCAGAGTAAAGGAGCATCCTTGGCTGCACAATCTGGGATCTCTCCGGCACCGCTTTGCCTCCCAGAAAGGCGAGTAGCTTCGCAGTGCTGGCAAAGCAGCATCCGTGACGAGCCCGCTCCCCGAGCCGGTGGCCGGACAGGGCCCCACGGGCTCCGAACCCCCCCAGCCCGCGGGGACCGTGCCCGCCGCTGCTGCCGGAGTCACCGGTGACGGGGCGCAGGGCAGAGCCGGCCCCGTTAAACTCAGGGCAGGGGCCCTGCCGAGCCCCGCACCGGCCCCGGGAGCCCCGGCGGGCGGCAGGGGAGCGGGACACGCCGGGAGCGCTGGACCGCACGGCGGAGCCCTGGACCGGCACCCCGGTGCCGCCCGCGCTCGCCGGCACGCCGATCCCGGCGGCTCCCCGGCTCCCGGGCCCTCGTCGGGACCCAGCGTCCCCTCGGAGCGGCGCCCGGCACCGCGGCGGGAGCGGCCCCGGGGCCGCCGTCTCGTTCCCCCCCGCCAAACTTTCCACACGTACCTGCCGGTGGCCTCGCTGCGGCCGGGGGCCGACGCTGCCCATGGCCGGGGGCCGCTGCGCTCCGGGTCAGCGGCGCCTCCGCGGGCCGCAGCCGCCGGGGGCCGCGCACCGGCACCGCCTGCTGCCGCCCGGGGACCGGCCCCGCGATCCGGGCTGGCACCGGCACCGGCACCGCCTGCTGCCGCCCGGGGACCGGCCCCGCGATCCGGGCTGGCACCGGCACCGGCACCGCCTGCTGCCGCCCGGGGACCGGCCCCGCGATCCGGGCTGGCACCGGCACCGGCACCGCCTGCTGCCGCCGTCCCGGGACCGGCCCCGCGATCCCGGGCTGGCACCGGCACCGGCTGCGCACCGAGCGCTCGCCGCCGCCCCCGCCCGCGAGGGCGCTGCCCCGCCCCGGTCAGCCCCGGTGCCCGTCAAGGCTGTCGGGGAGGAGGAACAGGCAGAGAAAATTCACCGGAAAAATTATTGACACGCACAACACCTTTTCCCACCCCTCGCACCCCCAAAAAAACAAAGAGGGGGGGTGATGGCCCCGCGAGCTCCCAGGGATGTGGAATGGCGCGGGGATGGACGGACAGGCAGCCAGCCTGAGTGCTGGCCCTGGCATTCTCCTCCTCAAAGGATGAACCTGGTCACAACTAATTTACCCAAAAACTAATTTTCCCTGCCAAAAATGGTGTGATGGATCCGTGAGCACAGAGGTGTGCTGGATGGTGTGGGGATGGACGGACAGACAGATGGACCCACTCCTGCCGCCCTCTTCTCCTCAAAATGTGTGTCAAAACCACCAAAACAGCTTTCCTGGAACTGGAATAGCATCACCAGCCTGGATCAGGCCCTGCAGGAGACTCTCCCTGACACAGGGGATTCCAACACCTGGGACCACAACACCAGCCTGGGCCAGTTCTTTCCCCAAGGCAGCTCCAGACTTGTCCAGAAAACCTCTCCTGGTGCCTCCAGGGCAGAGCTTGCTTGACTCCTCTTGCGGCAGGCAGCAACAGGCTTTAAAACACCAACAAACAGCGAGGGCAGAGGTTGAATTTTCACAGTTTTTGCCCGGAATTAGACCTGCAACCTCAGCACAGCTGAGATGAGAGGCTGGAGTTCCGCGCACTCATTTTCATTGCTTTGGTCAAACCTACTTGCAATCGATGAAAGCCTTTGGTTTCTGAAGACAGCTCACTGCTTACTCCTGGACCTTCCACCCCCCAACTCAGCTGGAAGAGCGGAATAATTTCCAAGCCGAGTTCCAGGTGAGCAGCAGCTCTTCAGACAACTCACATGTGGGCAGTTTGCAAATCTCCCAGCCATTTCCTTCCCCTGGGATCCCCAAGCCTCTGTGCACGCCCTCTCCCTTCCCCAGAATGCAGCCCCTGGAAGGGGCTCTGCTGCGAGTCCCTGCCCAGTGCCACTCTGGGACCACTGGCACCAGACAGACGGCAAGGCACGTGCCCTGGGGTGACCCACCCGCTCCTGGGGGACCCACCACCCCAGAGGGCACACAGGGGAGAAGAAGCACCCCAGCCCCTGACAAGATTGGGTTACTTTGCTATTTTGTCCTACGAAACTGAGTTCATTTCCCCCTTTATAGAGTCAAAATTGCCAAACGTTAAATTCCAATTAGTTAGACTTGGTTACTCAAAAGAAAAAGGAAAAGCTCTACAAGATTAAACCAAACCCAGTAATAAGATATTAAGGAAATACAAGCATCTCATTCTTCAGATCAGAGGGTTTTAATAATAATGACAAAAATCAATATGAAACTAAATTAAATCCGCTGTTTATATTCATCAGGTAATTTGATCGAGAGCCTGCCAATGCAGGTCTCTAGTGCTGTGATAAGTAAATACAAACATGCTACTTTCAGATCACAAAGTTTTAGTGGAACGATCAAGAGCAAATTAAATCAGAGCTATTTTCCACACCAGCCAAATTCCAATTAAATTAGGCCAGATTATTTAATAAGGAAGTCTACAAAACTCTAGCTCTTTATTGATGTAATGATACAGAAATATAAACTTGTTGCTTTCCAGATCACAGCATTTAAATGCAGGGGAGGAATTAAGACTTCAGTAAAACTGCTTTAATTTAAATTCAGCTGGAAGTGAACACGGAAATTCCTTCTCATCATCATCCTGACTTCTCATTGAGCGTCCAGCAGCAGCTTTCAGCCTTGCTCTCTTCCCTGGCTGTGACTCCTCAAGGAGCCCAGTACGTTACTGGATGAGGGGACACAAGTTTCCCGTATCCATAACAAGCCAAGTTTGGAAAGGAAAGGAACTGCCCAGGAAAACCCTAGCAACATTTCCGGATGTACCCTTAGTGATAAATCCTGCTCCCATGCAAGGAATCTGTCACATGCCTGGAATCCTTCTGTACCTTCCAGGTGAGCAACCAGCTTTTTTTTTTTTTTTTTCATGGATTGGGGCTTGGGGTACAAGAAGGGTTAGGGACAATGGTTATGCAAAGGCAGGTGGACATGTCAGAAGAATTCAAATGCTCAGGGCAATCAACTTACCTGCAGCTGCTAATAGGCAGAAGGGTACAAATTATTTTATTAAAGCTGGAAAAAGCAGAAGTTCTGACATTTTATTCCTGGGAAAGATTTATCACACCCTGTTTTCAGTGGATCACTGAATTAAGATTCAAGTTTATTTATTCCCTTCATCTGATGCGCCCCCAGTGCCTCCAGGCTCTCAGCACGGAGTACCTGCCTCCGAGGAGTTTGTTCCCTTTCAAAAGGTTTTGCTGACAACAGGGGATTTCAGTGCAGATTCCCAGCCTGTCAAAACAGCCATCCAGGGAGAGGATCTCTCCCTGGGCACTGCTGCAAAAACAGGGAGAAGTCCTGCTCCCTGCATCCTCTGGAATGTGGGTCTGAGCTTCCAAATTGAAAAGTAAATTCCCCAAAGGCTCCATAAATTCCAGTGAGTGTTAGTGCTATACATTTATTATTCTTCTTTTGTATTTCTACTGTCAGGTAATATTAAATGAGACCAGGAGGCTCCTGAAGACTTTGAGAGAAGAATTGTGAATGAAGATCCTGTGGGAGATATGAAAATTGTATGGAAGATTTTAAAGCTGCAGAGGGGGAAAAGCCAAGTGACCCAAGGAGGTTAATGTGCCCCCTTCCCCCCTCCCCTTTGCAGGAGGGAAAGGGTAAAACCCTCTGAGAATCTGCACCAAATCCAGGTCATCTGCTCTGCAAAACACTGATGTACTCACCTGCAGAGAGGTCACAGACATACCCAGAGCAGCAACACTCCAAAGGCTTCTCTGCACTCCAGCAGAAACAGACAGGGAATAAAGATGTGTGGTTGCAATCAAATTATCCCTTCAAAGAAACAACAATAAATGCTGAACTTCCCAATTACAGGGGACATACAAACCTTGGAAACCATTAAGAACCACTTCTTCTGTTGATGAATTATCCAGAGTGCATGGAGCTATTTGCTGAGCTTCACTGTACTATGCTAATTATAAATTAATATATTACTCATTACACAGTCAGGCTCTCTAGTCAACTAATGCAGTGCTGCAAAGAGCCTGTTTTAAAACATTCTCTGGTACTTTTATGATCTGGATGTTTAATTTACTTCTGTTCTGGCTTAAATGCAACCAACATGTCATTCTTCCACCAGGAAATATCCCTGGCTCCATCCTGCCTCCTCTGGGGCTCAGCAACATAAATGAAAGATGAAACTTAGAAAGGCTTTTTCAGTGCTAAGCACTTGCATGAGAAATTAACTAAAATAGCATCATTTAAGACTAATTCCTTTGTTACTGATTTTTAAATCACTGTTTATCATGGCAGCGTGCTGGAGTGCTTCACCTGAAGCTGTGTCCAGGGAAGGTGAGTGCCTGACACCCCCATGCTCAGGGGTAACTCTGGGTGAGATGGGGAGGCAGGGAAAGCACGAGCATCCAGGCAGGACTCCCAGAGGGATGGGAAGACGAAGGGCAGAGCTGCTGGCACCTGAAATATCTGCTTATTGGCATTATTCTGACTCAGTCTACAACATCTGCATCCCCAGGCCTTGTGCCAGGCAACCTTGTGAAGAGGAACATCAGCCTCGCAGATAAGGAGAAAAGTTTACATGGGTCTGTCTGGCAGGATGAATAGGGGGAAATGGAGCCCTCTTTCTTGGAAAACAGTCTTTAACATGGCATTGTTTCAGGGAGCATTCCTGCAGGAACGTGTTTATTTGTCAGACCATTCTTTCCACGCTGTGCTCAACATCACGGAAACAACAAATATCGAGCAGGTCACAGAAGTCAGTCTGGAAACTGCCAATTGCTTCTTTCCAAGGAAAGCATCCTGGTGACTCAGCAGGACGGGGCAGATTGGCAGTCCCACAGCGGGGAGACACATTTGCTGGAGAATCCAGTGATTTTTCAGCCTTAATAACACGGTGATATTGCACTCAGAATATCTAAGAGCACGCCAGTGTGACCAGCAGCTGGACAGGGGTGCTGTGGGGGGAAGGCATCAGGAGCTGAGGAGAGGAGCCATGAATGCTGGAGAGGAACTAGAGGGGTGTTGGCCTCAGGCTGGAAGGGTTGGTTTGGAAGGGACCTTAAAGATCAGTATTTCCAACCCCCCAGAAGGGACCTTAAAGATAACCTAGTACCAACCCCTGCCATGGGAAGGGATGCTGCCCACTAGACCAGGTCCTGAAGGGTACTGAAAGAGCTTTAAAGCGTACTGAAGACCTTAAATCTTGGGATTAGAATTGGGCATACCACTGAGTCACTTTTGTACTGCGATCCTAATAACCTGGTACGGTTTGAAATCTCTGGCTGAAGATGACTAAAGCCTGGAGGGCTTCTCAGAGTTGCTTCTGCTTGTAACTTACAATGCAAAATCCCCGTGCTGACTGGAATCAGCAGTTCCTCTGTGAAACTGAGGCACTGGGGCACACGGATTTTAAGAAACAGCCTCAAATTTCCTTTACAGTAGGCAAGTATTGTGTTTTTTCATCAGTTTTTTTGCTGTCACAGGAGCCCAGAGGCAGGGAGGTGCTAAGGTCAGGCTGTGCAAGCGATGGTGTTTACGCTGGCGACTCTTCCCCTCCCAGCCAGGGAGGATGTGTTGTTCTGCTCCGGCTAAATCCGCATCCTGCTCACGCTGGAGCGCAGCATCCTGGGTGAAAGGGAGGGAGACGTTCGGCGCTCAGCCCTCTCACGGCGTGTCTGTCCCTGCTCCTCCGCAGGCTGCGGGTTATGAACAGCCCGGAACGGCCACGCGTGGGCTGATGAGCGCGGCAGGGGTGGCCAAGCGCCCGGCGCTGCACGGGGAGGCTGTCCCGGAGTAGGCGGCTCTGCTGGAATCTTGGGACGATCCAGTCAGGAAACTCACCTGTCGGCAAAACGCGTGGACAGGGCCAGCCTGTCCCCCCGCAGCCCCACCTCCAGCCCGGAAAAGACTTTCCCACAGCGTTTTCTGCGCCGGGATGGCTCGTGTGCCCGGGGTTCCCGGCTGGGTGCCGGGTCCCTCGCCGGGAGAGCTCGACCTCCACCTCCACCCGGCTGCGGGATAACGGCGGGGGGTTCATTGCCCGGGAGGGCTCGTTCTCCTCCCGGCTGGGGCTGGGCGCGGGGCCGGGCGCGCAGCCCCCCGCAGACCCCCGGGGCGGCGGGGCCGGGGCCGCTCGGGGATCGCCGCCGCCAGCCGCCTTCTGCCGGCCGGCCTTCCTGCAGCTGACTCCCGAGGAGCTGCGCCGCGCCGACGACCACGCGGGGCGGGCGGTGCAGAGCCCCCGCGACGGGCGCCGCCGCCTGCCCTGGAGCACGGGATACGCAGAGTGAGCGGGGCCGGGAGCGGCGGCGGCGGCCGGGGAGGGCACGGTGGCACCGCTCGGCACTGGAGCCTCGGGGACGAAAGTGGGTCGCGGCGGGCGGCGAGCTGCGTCTGTCCCTTTTGCAGCAGCAGCAGCAGCGAGGAGCGGGCGCTGTGGGTGCCCGTGAGGGGAGAGCATCAGCGAGGGGCTGTGCTCCCGCCGCTCCCCGAGGGGTTTAGGCTCTTCTGTCCGTTTTGTTTTCTGCGCTTTCTGCACAACAGCCGCTGTCACCGATGGGTACCGAGGGCGAGGGAGCTGCGGCGCCTCTGGCAGGACTCGTGGGGAGGAGGGAGCTGGGGATTTCTTGGGAGTGAGACTGCTTGAGACTTCCCCTTCAAGGACCTGATTGTGTTCTTCTTTCACTAGCTGCGAGTTGCAGCCCTAACTGAAAGCGGGCGGGAAGGTCAGACTGTGAAGGCTTTTGCTACTTATTGCTGTCAGCCCACTCCCACACCCCTTCCTCAAGCTGATCTTCCCGATATTCTAGAGAGCTTTATGAGATGTTGATTTGTCCTTGGAGATAGTGGGTTAGGAGTACCCAGAGTGAAAAAAATCCCCTTTTCGGTGTCCCAAGAGTTCTTTCTGCAAACCACTTGGAAAGTCTGCCCAAAGAAAAATCACACTGCTGTGTTTACAGCTTCTTCCTGTGAGCCGGTTCTGCAATCTAGACCTGAAATCTGCTGTGTCAGCACAGGCTGGGAAAAGTCAGTGCGAATCTTTCTGCAAAAGTTCTGCCGGTTTCACCATCATCACCTTCTCCCCTCCTTCCCCGAGCCCCCTGCTCCCCCCAAGAGGTGATGGGACATGGGCGAGGCTGTGATTCTCTCTGTGTGTCCCAGGGGTGCATAGGTGCATAGCTGAGGCTGATCCAGGTTTTGGGACAATTATTCTGCCTGGGGCAGTGCTAGGGACTTTCAGCAAACCCAGTTTCTTTCTGATCACTTCCCCTGGTAGGTGTGTGGACAACTGCTCCCCCCTGGACCCAGCTGTGGGTGGGACTCAGTGCTGCTCCTGGCCCCAGATCAACCCACACACCTGGTCTGAGACACCTGGGACAGGACAGGACAGGAGCACCTGTGCAGGGCATCCCTGGCATCTCTGGGGACACAGGGGCATGAGTGGAGGGGTGGGGGGAAGAGGTGCTGTGGGATGGCATTTGCTGGAACATGATGTGGAAGAAAGGGCCTTTACACCTTTTTTCCTCCTGGCAGGGTGATAAACGCAGGGAAGAGCCAGCACAATGAGGACCAGGCGTGCTGTGAGGTGGTGTTTGTGGAGCAGAGGCCCAGCCCAAGGGGCAGCGGGGAGCTGGATGGGGTGAGAGCCGTGGTGGTTCACAAGCAGGGGCACCACAGGGAGGATGCCCAGCAGCAGGGCATGGGATGGGACCCCCAGTGTGTGCACAGTGGGGATTCCCTCGGCTGTGGCCCTTCTCTCTGCCTGCTCCTACCATCCTCCATCCCCATGTGACCCCACCAGGGCTGGCCCAGGGACACCAGTGCCCACGTGCCCTGGTGGGCTGCAGAGGTGCCTGCTGTGCTGGCCCCGTGGTGCCTCCCCTTCTGAGGCTGCCAGAGGCACGAGGTGTGTGACGCAGGGCTGGGCTGCAGCCAGGGATCAGCTGTGTCCAGGCACCCTTGGTCAGCTGCCCCCATCGCCTGCACTGAGACCTGTGACACTCCTGTCACTGTCCTCAGCCGATAGCCCCAGCTGCTCTGAATTCCCCATGCCATCTTGCAGGCTCATTGAACCTTCCCTCTCCTCCCTGCAGGGCAGGAAAGGTTTTTATTTCCACTACTGGGCCTTGTTTGATGGCCACGCAGGCAGCGGTGCTGCTGTCATGGCATCGGAGAGGCTCCACCTGCACATCTGTGAGCAGCTCCGGGACCTCGTGGAGATCCTGCAGGACCCCTCCCCACCTCCCGTCTGCCTCCCACACGACGCACAGACCGGTTCTGCAGATCCAAACCACGTGTCCCATGCCGAGGAGCGTGGGGAGGTCCTGAACGATGCTGTGCCACGGTTTCACCTGGAGAAAGCAGTGTCCCATGAGAGCCTGGTGATCGGTGCCATTGAGAATGCCTTCAAGCACATGGTGAGCATCCTCTGCCTGTGGGATCATCTAGAGCAAGCACCTCTTTGCTGTCTGTGTCTGCAGCAGCCTGACCCTGCTGGTGACAGGCAGCTCTGCAGCAAGGAGGGGACTGCAGGGAGGGCTCCAAGCACGGTGGTCTCAGAGAGGGCTCTGTGATGCTCTGCATTTTGAGCTTTCAGAACGCACAGGCTTTGGGCTCTGGGCCTGCGTGGTGCAGAAGGCTCCACTGCACTTTGTTCCAGGAGGCTCACCTGCTCCCCTCCTGTCTTGCTCTTTGCTGCCCAGTGAAGCCACGTCCCTGGCTGCCCCAAAACACCCCTGTCCCCTCAAGCCCTGCAGCCACTCCGTGGCAGTGTGGGGAGACGTACCCTGGCTGGTCTCTGCTTCCCACGTGGAGCTGAGGGGCTGCTGGAGCAGCCAGGTGCTCGGTGGGCTGCCCCCCTACCCTCTGTGTCTCCCCAGGACGAGCAGATCGAGCGCGAGCGGGCGGCCCAGCACCTGCCCGGGGGGTGCTGTGCCCTGGCTGCCATCTACCTCATGGGCAAGTTCTACGTGGCCAACGCTGGTGACAGCAGGTACAGCCCCGCAGGGCAGCCCTCAGCTTTTGCTCAGCAGAGCGGGGTGGTGCCAGAGGGATGGCTGGTGAGGAACACCCAGCTCCACCCCTGTCTGGGGGAGGGTGAAGGTGGCAGAACTGGGCAGAGTCATCCCCTGCCTGCTCCGTGGCCCGGGGACAATGCACTCTGCTGTGATCTCTGTTTGCCAGGTGCACAGATAGGGCTAGAACTGCCTCCCAAAATCTGGGATGTGCTCCCTTCTTTCCTAACATCTTCTCTGCTACCCAGATGGCTCTGGATGCCCTGGCCCCTGCTGCTGGCACTGGCCTGGGCTGCAGGTTGGAGAGTGAAAATTGCACTCAGCAAAGCTTTCAAAAATGTGCAAGAAGTCATTTTAGAGTACACTTTATACCAGTGACCTGTTTCAGGAGAAGGACACAAATCCATGTGCAGTGGGAGCTCAGAGCCCAAGGACTTTCATTTCTGTGTTTCCAGGGGTGGGCTGCTGTCACTGCACCTGTGTGTGCCCACAGCCCCAAGCAAAGAAGGGCAGGTCCACCTTACACTAAAGGTGACACTGCAGGTGAAGCTGGTTTGAGCTGCCCTGTGTTTATCATTGGATCAAAGAACGGTTTGGGTAGGAAAGGACCTTAAAGCTCATCTTGTTCCACCCCCTGCCATTTGCAGACACCTTCCAGCAGACCAGGTTGTCCCACGCTCTGTCTGACCTGGCCTTGAACATTTCCAAGAATGGGGCAGCTGCAGTTGCTCTGGGTATTTATGGCAGGTTACCTTGTCCTCAGCAATGTCAGACCAGCAAATACAGACTCTGGTCAGTTGTCTGGGGCTGGATGTGGTCCCAGCTCTGGGACAGAGAAGGAGATCCCTCATTTGGGGTGCGGGTCCCCCTCCATGGCAGCAGCAGCCAGGCAGTGGCCATGCAGGATGTCAGCATGCACAGTCCTGAGTTGTAACTGTGCCTCTGAGCTGTAACAGCCTGTGTTGCCTTCTCAGGCATCAGACCCTGCCAGAGCTGAGCCCAGCCTGGCCTTCCATCACCGCAGGAGACTCACAGCCGCCAGTGCTGGAGATCCTTGGGCCTACCATGACATCCAGAAACATCTCATAATCAGACCTTTGTGTTTTCTTGAGACATTAAACTGTAAGAGCAGAGCCAGCAGCCAGTGGCAGTGCTGGTGTGGGGTGGGCACGTGTACCTGTGTCCTGCTGCAGGCATGTGTGCAGCTCCCCTCTAAAGGGAGCCTTTGTGCTGCTCCTTTTCTAACCATATTCAGTCCTTTGATTTGGTCTGCTTCATTCCCCTCTGCCCCCTGCTTCTCTCCCATTTTCCCTTCCTTCCTGCCCCTCTCCTGCACAGGAGGGAGAGATGCCGTGCCCTGCCCAGGGCGAGCAGTGAATCCAGGAAGCAGCCCCCACCTCAGGCCGGGAGAAGGGTGGGCAGCAGAGGGGAAGGGGTTGCACCACTCCTGGGAATCAGCCCTGGAGAGCCAGGCTCAGCTCCTCTGCCAAGTCTCCTTCTCTCTAATCTCATCCTTCCATGTTTCATTGCAGGGCCATTATCATCCGTAATGGGGAAATCATTCCAATGTCCAGGGAGTTTACTCCAGAGACAGAGAGGCAGAGGCTGCAGTTTTTAGTAAGAAAGACCTTTCTTCTAACCTCATTCCTGCTGAAACACCTCCTGGCCTCTTCCCAGTCCCCTGTGCTGCCTGCTGGGCTGCTGCCACGGTGGGTTCTGGACCCGAGGGCAGCCCCATGGGCTGGATCAGCCTGGGATCCTCATCCATCCCAGACGGCTTCCTGGGATGGGAGCAGGCACTGGGATGCAGGGAGCTGGCATGGGGGCATCTTGTGGCTGGCAGAGCCTGGTTTGCTGTGTCAGAGGAGCTGCAGTGCTCCTGCCCAGCCCTACTTTCTTCCCTGGCTGCTCCCCGGAGAGTCGCAGCTGTGCCAACAGGCCTCGGTCCTTCTCCCTGAAAGCTCCCTGTCCCTCTCCTGGATGAACCCCCTGGTGCCACCCAGGGAGACTCTTTAAGGTTATAAAGACCTCTCTGAGAGCAGCACAGGGGAGGAGGAGTTTGTGTTGGAGAAGGTCTTGCTGGATGAAATTTCCTGGCTTGCAATGTACTTGGAAAAACACTGAGGTGTTTTTTCTGGAATCTATTTTTGAATGACCGAGAGGAGGAAACTGCTGTGATCAGAATCCTCCTCAGCTGGCTGCGAGGGGCAGGGCACAGGCTGGGGACAGGCACACACTGCTCTGCCACGTGATGCTGAGGCTGTGGTCAGGGCTCCCCCAGAATGGGCTGGGGGTCTCCTCTGCCCCAAGCCCCTGCCATCCCATCTTCCCAAGGGATCTCCTCTTCTCTTCCTGCTTTTCTTTCCCCTTCAGCATTTTCCAGCACTCCATGTTCCTGGTCCCCTCCACACTGTGCTCCATGAGGGCTTGGGGCTGCCCTGGGCAGGGCTCTGTGCTGCTGCTTGTCCCTTCTCACGGTCACAGGGGACTCTGCTTCAGAAAAAACCCATCACTCTTTTCCTTGGGTGAGTGCCATGCCCTGCACTGAGCCTGGGATCCTGGATCTTGCAGCTATGGCTCCTTCTGGGTAAATTCCAGCTTCTCCTGGAATTTGCTGGGGTTTGAATGTTTGATCCCTTTTGGAGATCTTTATTTCCCAGAACTCTCCATGCAAAAGCTTCACCTTCTTGCTGGGTGTTGGCATGGCTGTCCTCAGCTCCAGTTTCCCCTCTGGCTTAGCACAGGTGGGCAGTTTGCAGCTGCCTTACCAGCACCTCTCTGAGTGGCTGCGGAGCAGCCGATGCCATCCCACCAGGGAATGCTGCAGCTGAATGGTGGATGGTGGATCCTGGTCTGGGCAGGGCTGGATCCGCAGAGCCTGCCCTCGCAGCCCTGGGGCTGAGCCAACACTCCTTCCTGCAGGCTTTGCTGAGGCCCGAGCTGCTGGGGAAGGAGTTCACGCACCTGGAGTTCCCCCGCAGGGTGCAGCCCAAGGAGCTGGGGAAGAAGATGCTCTACAGGGACCAGGACATGAATGGCTGGTAACCCCCAACCCCTGGTGGCACTGGGCTCATCTCTGGCATGCCATCCCACGGGCAGGGGGCTCTGGCACGCCGGGTGCCCAGGTCCCAAGTGGTCAGGGAGGTGCTGGGAGCTTCACCTGCTGACACCCTGTCTCTGGCTCATTTTAACCAGGGCTTACAAAAAGATAGAAGAGGATGACCTGAAGTTTCCACTTATCTTTGGGGAAGGCAAAAAGGTAAAGTACTGTGGCAGAAGCTTGGCAGGGGTTGTTTCCTGCCTGCTCTCACTGCTTTGGGGGATTTCAGCCCATTTTTGGTAGTGCTGTTATCACCAGTTCTCAGCTGGGAATGGGATTAAAGTTCTCTTTTGATTCCACCATTCTCCAGGCTCGGATGATGGCCACAATTGGGGTCACAAGAGGCCTGGGAGACCACGACCTCAAGGTGTTCAGCTCCAACATCCACATCAAGCCTTTCCTGTCCTGCTTCCCAGAGGTAAGCCTGGCTGCCAGCAGCTTGGCACCCAGGGGTCCCTGCAATGGCCAGAGCCACTCGGCAGGCCCAGACCCGTGACGTGCCCAGGGCAGCAGGAGCCTGCTCTGCCTCTCTGCCTCTCAGCCTTGCGCCTTGCCCTGTTGCCTGCCAGGTCAGGGTTTATGACCTCACGCAGTACGAGCACTGCCCTGACGACGTTCTGGTGCTGGGCACCGACGGGCTCTGGGACGTCACCAACGACAAGGAGGTGGCAGGAGTGGTGATGGAGGTGCTGACCAGCTATGAGCCCAACGACCCGTGCAGGTGAGCTGCAGGTGGGCAGGGGGACAGGCGTGCTGTGCACCCCACCACCTCGCCTTGGCCTGGCTCCTCGGAGCAGTGTTGTGGCCACGCATCCCTCTGGGCTCCACAGAGTGCATTGCTCCCCTGGATGGGCATATCTGAGCCTGGTCTCTCCAAGAGACCCTTTCCTGCAGCTCTAGCTTCTCCCTCCTTGCCAGGGTGCTGCCTCAGGGGTCTGGGGTCGCTGCTGAGCCGTGCTCTCTGCCGTGCCTGCAGGTACACCATGGTGGCCCAGGAGCTGGTGGTGCGGTCACGGGGGGTGCTGAAGGAGCGTGGCTGGCGGCTGGCCAACGACAAGCTGGGCTCTGGAGATGATATCTCTGTTTTTGTGATCCCCCTGGGTGGCCCCGGCAACTACACGTGATGCTGGATGAGCCTGGGGCAGCGGGGCTCAGCTTGCCTGGATGGAGACACTGTGGAGTGGGACCCTGGGGCTGCCTCGGGGCCATGCCTCCTCTGAGCACTCGTTTCTTGAGCCAGCTGCAAGAAGAGTAAGAAACCTGGAGCCTCAGTCTGTGCTCCTGTCCAGAGCATCCCCCTCCACGTGCCTGCATCCCAGTCCCAGGTGGAGATGGAGAGGCCCTGGATAGAGTGTGAGCACTGGGCTCGAGGGATGTTTTCATGCTGCTACTTTCTCAATGCTGTGAAAAGCCTGAAGGCTCCTTGGCTCCTCAGCATGTCCTTTGCCTCTTGCCGTGGCTGTGCTGACTGCAGCCCTGTGTGACAGCCATGGGGCTGCTGGGGCACTCATACCTGCTGCAGCCACCCCCTGGCTCCTGCCCCGGGATGCTTTGGCCAGTGACACTGAAGCTGCTGCTGGAGGTGGGAGCTGGGGCTCAGGTGGGATGTGACAGGGAGTAAAGTCCCACAGGCAGCTGGGCAGTGCTAAGCCTGGCACAAATCCAGCGTGGCCCCACAATGGCCATCCCAGCCTTGTGCTCCCCATTTTCAGCCCCTCACACCTTCATTCTGTCACAGACTTTGTCTCAGTCTCCAGTCTGGGAGATTGGAGCAGTGGCCAAGCTCTGCTGTGCACCCAGAGCCCCGAGGAGGGAACAGCAATTGCACCAGCACTGGCTGTGCCACAGGTTCTGCCCCGTCCTCTCATGCCTTGGGTGGCTGCAGTGCTTCTGGAGCCAATTATTTATTAACTGCAGAGCTGAACTGGAAAATGTCTAAATCCTTTCTTGGTGTGGGGAGTCTGTGAATGTATGTCTGTATTTTGGAGTGGCTCTGAGTTAGCAGCCTCACACAGAGCAGCCCTATTCAGGTGAGCTTAACAGCTTAACTGCACTGGATCTGCTTAGCCCAGGGCTGGGAACCCACAGGAAAAGCAGCTTGGTGTGACCAGGGCAGGGAAAGACAGCTCCCATGTTTTCCTTAATGATCTCAGAACTGGTGCAGAGGGGAGCTGAGCAGTTGATCTCTACACTGGATTTTTGGATCACACACGTCTCTAACCTGGAGCATCCACATCCCAGACCTCTGCAGAGTCCTAAACTGGGAGGGATGGTCCCATCCTGGCAGTGTGGGGAGGGGAGAGCTGGGCCATGTCCCTTGTTTGGGAAAGGCTCCGTGGCACCAGTAGTTTGTCTCTTGTCACTGGGTGCAGCCAGCTCCCATCAAGTGTCACCTCTAGTGAATGTTGTTTGTGTCCTGTAACCAGTGGGATGTGAATAAACTGGGGGCACACAATGGAAAGTGGAAGTTATGCACAAGATTTGAACCTGTTGGCACCCATGCTGAAGGGAGTGGTGCTGGGGCCAGGAGCCTGTCCTTGTGTAGCACTGTGTGTTTAAATAAAGATTTTGCCACTCGCAGCCCTACTTTAAAGTCTTTCTTTGCAGAGCTCCTGCAAAGACGACTTACTTAAGCCAATTAGCTCTGATTAATTTATGTAGGCAGGCAAAACCGGCCTGTGCAGAGCCACGTGTGCTGCTGTCCATCTGCCCTTGGCACTGTCAGAGCCTGTGCAGCGTCCATCCTGGGCAGGGGGAGCCGCTGGGGTGCTGCCAGGCTGGGGGGTTTGGATCCCTGGATCTGGCTGGGGTGCTGCCAGGCTGGGGGGTTTGGATCCCTGGGAGCCACTGGGGTGCTGCCAGGCTGGGGGGTTTGGATCCCTGGGAGCCACTGGGGTGCTGCCAGGCTGGGGGGTTTG